GAGCTTCATGACTCGTGTACAAATGACCTAGTTAAATTTAATTTTCGCCAATCGAAATCAAACAATAGCCAATGTTATTGATTAGATTCTATTGGGATTTACAAGTGAAAGAAAATAGACAGTGAAATATTATAACATCATATAACGGCGAGCTCGATTCGTTTTAGTAATAGCGGTCGAAAAATGACGTCATAGATTCACTAGGGCGAGTCATTGACACAATAAACTTAATAATAACAAGAAAGAGTGTAATTTAGTCGGCGCGTTCGATAGACCAGAGTGAATAAATTAATTATTACTATTCCTAAAGCATTCTTTATAATAATTTTGAGAGTTTAATCGTGAGGACATTGTCTTCTGGTGTTTTTATTTACCGTTTTGGTGGATTTATTATATTTCCCAGTAATACGTAAATCGTATAATTTTTTAGTGTGAAAATTCTAGTCGTTTGCAAAGAACGTTCTTTGTTAAGAATTGAACATTTGCCATTCGTGTTGACGTATATTTTTTATATTAAAAGGGGATCAATAAAATAAAGTTCTGTGTATAACTATATACGTGATGAAATTTTTTTGTTAGTACGAGTGATATCAGAGAGACACAGTTGTTTCTATTGTTTACTGATGTTTTTGCAGCCTTTCAGATGAAAGAAATTACTCATTACAAAAAATATTTAATTATAACAGTCAATCTAAAAATATATAATTAATGCTTGCGCTAAAATACCTAACGGATATTAAAATATTGTATAAATGGCATTTGGGATAAATGACATTTTAATTAAATTATAATTTTACTTTTATGTACAAATAAATTCGTTTGATTCGGATTTCAAGAAATGCTAATTTCTTATATTGAACAAAGTATATACTTAATTCAATAGCTACTTAACTTTAATTACATCTAAGTGTAAGTTGGACGGCCCTTTAAATGCTTGTTTATAATTAAATTTACAATTTTTATCTAGTTATTATTATTTTAAAGTTTATCTAATAGAACTTTAGTTAAATAATTTAATAAAACGTATCAATTCGATGTTCAATTAGTTTCAATTTTAATGTATAAACGAAAATTAATCCTTTTTTACATTCAAGACGAATGGTAATTCTATCCAATTTTTTATTTTAGATGGGCTTTTTGTCATTGCTACATATTTTTTGTTTGTTTCAGTTTTAACATCTTATTATTTCAATATGTATGAAAAAACTCATATTACAATGTGATTCGTTTTTTAATCAATTTTAATTCGATTACATGTAGGTGATATTTACATACAACATTGATGTTATTGTTTGACAGTTTTAATTTTTAGTTAATAAAAATCATGAATTAATAATGGAATAATTTTAAATATCATAAGGCTGTCGATAATAATAAACAAACGTATAGAATAGTAGTATAGTTAGTTAGAGATAACGTTGTCATGCTAAATGACTAAGTAGTTGTAATTTAAACATTATTTTCTCCATAGAATTGCTTTTTTCAAAAGTTTTAGCTTAATATTGATAATAGTAAATATTGTTATAGTTAAATAAATAAGTAAAATAAAATTTGATATAAATTAATTCTGACTTGATGATTTTGTTATAGAAAAAGTAGTAATACGTTAAAAAATTATTTATTTACCCTTCCAAAATTTTAATTTTAACATGTGTTGGAGAAGTTTTGACCTTATCTTTTTTCTAGACATGCCTTCGTGTGTTTGTTATTTATTTTCATGCCTCGCAAACGTTTTTGTTGAAATTTATACTCGACCATGTAGAAAATTTAAGTAGTAACATTAAAAAATATACAGTGTTAGGTGTACTACCCTCTATTTTGTCGTTAAATAATGGAGTTTTCATAAAACTGCACAGTTTAAAATTTTGTTTATTTTTAATATTTTATTATGTTTCTTTTATAATTTTTATTTTTATAGTAAATATCAAATTCATTGAATGAAAAAGTTGTACCTAAGATTAGATTTTAGGGGTAACTTAAGATAGTTAAATAGGAACCTATGATTATTTTTTTACTACTAAATGGAGAACGGTTAAAATGAAATGTTTACTTGTTGATAACAGTTTTGTATAATTACTTTTTGAGATATTATAATTTTAAGATTTAGAAAATTTAAGGCGCGAGTAGTGCTTAGCGACGGTCTACTTTTAACGCACAAACAAAATTCCACAACGTTACATACCCAACCCCACACCCTCACAGAACTATTATAAATCAAAAAGAAATAATACAAAATTAATTATCGATTATTAAACATTTCATTTAATTCTTTCCCATTTAATAATAAAAGAAAAATAATAATAATTGGTTCCCATTTAACTTTCGAAAGTTTCCCCTAAAATCATCCATTAGAAATAACTTTTTTATATAACTAACTAATATTTATTTGGTTCGTAAAAACAAATAAAATTTTAATCTATACATTTTTATGAAAAAATCATTATCGAAAATATTGACAGTAATATACTTAATAAATAACGCTGTGTATATTAATAAACGGATTTATTTGAAAACTGACACAACATATTAATTAGACGCTTAGAACTTCCACTACAATTAAGATTCGTGTTGTCGCTATCCTTATTAATTTGTAACATACTCTGGCCATTGGCAGACTGTGTAAATCCTATTATTGTATTTACAGCATTAGTCGTACGCTTAAGTCAAAAACAATATTCTTGCAATGCTAAAGTTTTTGGATTTGGGATTCATACACAGTAACGTACACATTGGTTTCTACACAGTGGGAAAATGTCAATTGGTTAAACGAACTAATGATATAACAAAGCTCTCCGGTACCAGAGGTTTACTTGGGACTGTGCAGTCATAATCGACAAGATAGACGATCGCCTCTAGTTACGTTTTAATAACCCGTCTTCACTAAAAAACAAATGATAAAAAAGTATCCATTAGTTATATCATATACACAAGTTTTTAATTATTGTCACGTGTAAACGTGTTCTAACTTTTCTGAGAACAATTGATATCTGTCCACTTGACCAACAATAACTCGTTCAATTATCAGTATGTCGCAAATCCATTAACATTCTAACGGGTGTTATTTGTGGCTAATAAATAATTAAATTTTTGGTGTCAAATAATGTTTCAAAGACTCAAATGTATTTAATCAAGAGTTCCTATAACTTGAAACTTTGACTTTGTAAAGATCAAAGCTAGTACACTGGTATTAATAACGTTAACGTTTTTCGATGGTTTATGGTTTAGATAGCGGTGGATGTGATCGCATTCTATATTATTGTAGTTATTGTTGTTGTTACGTGAAAGCTTTTAGTCGACGATGCCATCAAAAGCGCGTTTCCTTTACCCACCCCGTTCCCGTTAACCAATAGGCTTTTAAACGTTTTCACAATGTATTAGCAAAGAGATGATTTGTGTCCCTGTCGCTCCTGTAAAACGCTAGACGAATTTTGTCGAGAAATTGCCGAATTTCGTGTTTTAGCCCGTGAAGATCATAATAACTATTTATTCGTATCGAAACTTAGTTTTAATTTCGTGTTCATTCCAAGTTAAACACAAAAATATTTCGCTTGGCGCCTGTGACAATGTATTCATTACTGTAATCGACCTCCTATAATTAACTAACGAACCCAAGATTTCTTCAGACACCGAATCCTACCTGTTTTATTTGTTTTTAATCATAAAAAAAGCATGGTTGTCCTGGTCGACCGGAAGGAAGTATAGGGATTTTCGGTGCATTGTAAAAAATATGAACGCCTCGAACAGCAAGAGATTATATTAAGTACTCGTATTTTTAATTTCGGCAACCAAAACCCCCCCCCGGAGAGTCGTATAAAATATTGTACTCAATGGGAACCTCCGTTTACAGTCGCACTTTGTATACAGTGATCCGCTTGTGTCGTTGATAAATTAGCTCGCTGGCATGTCAAACAGTAAAAAGTACAACTTTATCGCGAAAACAATAATAATTAATACGACGAAGGTTTCAAGTACGAACGGAAAGGAGTCGGTTCGATCTATGAATGCTATGAAATTCGTGAGCTGTGTAATTACTTTGCTAGCTGGAACATATATCATTATGACTTCCGGTGCAATTGTATTTCCAATGTTTATGGTTCACAATTTTTTTAACCTGTTGTAGTTTGTATGACCAAGTTGAATACAAACAACTGTAACTTAGTGTTTGTTCGTTACAGCCATCCGTATAATATTTATTGTATTCTTATGAAAACTTCAACAACGCGAAACGTTTTCCTTAGTATTTATTTGGCTAACATATGTTTTGTTTACATCGGCTAAGGTAAACAAAGTGATCAGTTTATCATTAACCTGGCAATTACTAGCAAAATAAGTACATTTATTGAAAAATAAATATTTGGTTTTTCTTAGGCATATATTTGTCGGTTTATCAGTTTTTTATGTTTAGTTCAGTTATGAATCTCAATTTTTATCAGTTAATAGTAAAACAACTGTTTATATTTATAAATATATTAAAATTGATTTTCACCAAGTGCATTGTCGATGCAATAAGCACACGATGTTCTCAAAGGTATTCTAGCGAATTCCCAAGCGACATTTTACATTGTAAGGAACTTAACGTGTGACATATTACAATAAAATCATTAGTAAACTTATGTAATTATGAGTTCATCTATTCGTTATTAACCGCGCACGTGCGCCAACGCCGACACTTGAAGTGGCTATTCCTTTGCGGGTGGCGTTGGGCGCACGCGCAATTATTTTAAACGCTGCGGCGGCGCCTCGGCTGACCGGGCCGTAGACACGCGGCTAACGGCAGCGTAACGACGAGAAACTGCTGCTATTACGTTTGATAACGGTAGCGGCGGCTCTAACGGGTAAAAACCGCCGCAACACAGCCGTCGTGCTAGTTGAATCGTCCGCTAAACTCTGCGGCCCACCGGAGTGTGCGTGCGTGACGCCGGTTTCGGTGATGCCGCCGCCATAGACCTCGCCGAAGCGCCGCGTTTTGGGAGCAGCGGCAGGAGCACAGAGTGCAGTTAGTGTGTGCGCGCGCGGCGGTGTGTGCCAGGCAGCTGCGTGCCGTCCGTGGGCTTGTGTGTGTGTGTGTATGCCGTGAATTTGAGCGTGTGTGTTTATATGTATATGTGCGTTGGCGCGCGTGCCCCGTCGTGTCAGTGGTGTGGTGTCGGTCGTGTGTCGCGTCGTCGTCTCGCCGCGGTCGCTCCGAGCTCGCCGGCCGCCCTTCTTCCCAGTTGGATTCACGTCGCTCGTACTTCTTTTCTGTTTCTTATCATCTTTATTATTTCGTATTAATCAATTACGGTTATTTAGTCGTGTTATCGCTCTCGTTATCTTCTATCTTTGTTGTTGTTTGTAGCTGAATTAACACGTGCTGTTCCAACGGATAAAAAAAATACGGTTATTATAAATATTTGATAATTGCTAACCGATAGACAACGGTGTGGCAGCCAGTAACCTTATTTGCCCACACACGTTCGCCCCAATCTCTTCGCCTTGCATAGCGTCCGGTCTTATTCCACAGTGGTGTCTTCGTCGGCCGGCCACCGCCACAGACGCTTGGCCGCGCCGCCGAGTGATGCAACAGCAATGCGGATTTTGCGCTGCTGTGTCCGACCTGTTCAGGAGGATCATGTGTTTTAGTGGCAGCAGGAGGGGTAGTGATCAGTCGTATTATCACGAACTTGACAACGACGATCCCCAAACAGCCCTAGTAAGTACACACTCTTAGCTACGACTATTTACATAATTAAAAAGTAAAACCCTCTGGTTGGTTGGTTAATTGGTAGAGAAAGTAAAGAGTTAATGAAAACAATTGACTCGTCAAAAATTGTCAACGTCAATTCAATTTTTCCATAAAAATGGAATATAGAAAATATTGAATTAAAAAACTGAATATTTCAATCGTCACCAATGGTTTTTTTGTAAGGTTGTTGGGGCTATTTGATTTGGCGTCATTCACAAAAACGTGAGGATGAACTTTTTGCCTAGTTCGTTGCCCACGCGGCGTAACAACTTTTTTANAAAAACTGAATATTTCAATCGTCACCAATGGTTTTTTTGTAAGGTTGTTGGGGGTATTTGATTTGGCGTCATTCACAAAAACGTGAGGATGAACTTTTTGCCTAGTTCGTTGCCCACGCGGCGTAACAACTTTTTTATTATCATAGTCGCTAAATTTTGGTTACTACATAATACATTTGAGTCTCCAAAACGAAAAAAACAACGTAACTGTATGAGGATAGTAACAGAACATTTTTACTATCAGTCCGTTGATTTACTCACTCACATGGTTAAATTTTTGTTGTTATGCTGGCGGCGTTGTCACTGCCATAGATTCTAACTATTGTCATTATGTTTGGCCGGTACAATGACCTCTTCCGCCGTCTATTGTATTGAATGTTGTGTGTCATAATAATAATAGTAACACTTGCTAATTATTATTGTTTTGGTGCATGTGTACTAATCTTATTTCGGAGCATCTCTTGATAAGATAAACAGGGAAATGTTCTCTTATCTTATGGTATGACGGATATAGTTACAACTGCAAAAAAATGTTGATAAGAAATATAGTATAACGTGCCTCCCTGGAGCAGTTTGATATTTTTGTTTTTTGGATAAAGGGAGTCATCCATTAAAAATGACGCAGCATTTCCCAGTTGGCAAAAATGTTATTGTTTCTCTGCTTAAAACAATATTCATCGTCTGAGGATTATTGTCTACAGAAAATTCATGTGTTTTATTGCTATGTACACTTTGTCAAAGTACCTTTTAACTTAATACGACCAAGTTTTACACGCCACAATGAATTTTCGCATATATTTCGTTTTGTAGTTAACCCAAAAAAAAAAACATTAAATTATGTTTAGAATTTACTTATTAAAATGATATTTCAGTTTGAAAACTAAATTATTTAACATGAATTCGAAAAATTCCTTGTTTTTTTTTATGCAGTAGACCCTTATTATTATTTAAACTGGAAACTATTCTTAGCCCTATATCGTGACATTGTTACATAGTTGTACCTTTTCATACGTTATATCACCTTTAAATATCCTCCACCGAAACATACAAAAAAAACACCATGAATTAAAGTACTCTTTTATGAACGTTTAATATAGATATAAGCTTTCTAGAGTATTTCTGGCACACTTGTTGGTATTTGATTTGTACCGCTCGCCTTTATAATACGTTATTGTGTTTACCGTGTGATGTCTCCGGAGGAAGTCACCTTCCTTTTTTTCAGTTGCAAGCGCTCCAGGGACGGTGAACACTTCAGGTCGCTTTTACATTTCTACAGAATCCGCATGTACTAAGATAAAAGCATTTTTTGAATTATTATGCCGGTCGGTATCAAGCGCTGTGTTACGTGTCACGATCATTTATCAATTACTCTAAAGGTCTCTTGTGTATCGCGTGCGTTCAATAATATTGTTATATGGGTCTGTCAAAATTAATAGGGTTGTTACAATGTTGCTCGTTAACAAATTACAATACGCTTGTCTGCACACAGCCCGTTGTGTGTTACACGGTAGCTACTGTAATTAGATAGGTGCATCGTTATACTAATTTATGCAGCGGCGTGTACCCGAAAGAGGAGAGTGGGCCTTTTCGCTGCCGCCGTCGTAACCCATAGAGTTCGAGAGCACTCGACACCGTCGATTTTGGCACCAAGCCATCCCACGCAATAATCGCGTTCTTATGATATAATTAATCATAATAATTATTGTAAATTGCCGTCACTATTCTCGCACGCTGTTGTTGTTGTTTCGTTCGAAACTACTTTGCACTCGACTTTTGCTTCGAACAACAATGCAGTGGTCGTTCAACCCTTTTATGGGTAAAAAATCTATACTTCGACGATACTTGGCTGCAACTTAATTTGCGCATAATGTTTACATTATATGTGTACAATTAAGCCTACGGCGGGGTTTTTAAATCGCTTATCCTGTAAATCAGACATTTTATATCATAGTCGGTTGTGTACGGAAGGAGACTCCACAATGCCACTGGACTGCAGATAGATTCTCGAATTGTATAGGAAGAGAGACACGATGAATTTCTCGAAACCTCTTCAAAAATTACACTCTTCAACTGTACAAAACATGACGGATTGTCCCACTGAAGTTCTTTAAGCCCCTCACACCGTTGCTACTGTGCATGAAATTAAACGTGCCGCGTATATATTTATTTTTAATGCTTTTGTTATAGTAAGCACTTGATATCTGTTGATATATACACGTTGGTCGCCGGCACTGTTTCTTAATGGCGTAGGTCGTTAGTCTTGTAGGTCCGTTAACGTTTTCACTTTCACGTCGTGTCAGTGTTTCCTATGAAGAACAGTTGCAATACAGTATCGCAACAACCAGTATGAAAAAAATTCATCTGTTATTTTTTATCTGTTTATCATGTGTAACCACTCTCACAATTTACCGGTTTAACTTAGTCTGGTTTGCGACCGCGTCATCGCCGGTGTTTCGTTCATCAACATGACATGAAATTGTCCAAGATATGAAATACATATATATATATATATATATGTTTGTGTGTGAATGCAAACATACTATACGGTTTTTATTGAAATCCACTCGTAGTGGCATCATAAAAAATCCGTACCCGATATTGTAGTGGTGGTAATAAATTGTTACTACTTCAGTAGTAGTTATGTGACGCGATTGGATAATGACTATGTTAATCGCTATTAATTTATATAAGTTACAAGTTCAGTTTATGCACAATCTAATTCGTTCGTGTATAGTTTTAATGTTTGTGATTTTTGTTTCTTACTGATTTTTCTAATTGATTCCTGTTAAAAGTGAGACTTATTGTACATTTGTCGGTTAATTACAACACAGGAAAACGCTTGCGATTAAAGTAATATTATTTAAAAACTAAACGGCCGGGTAAGATCGCACATGTCTCGTTACACAATCGTAGGAAAAAAAAACCCTACACCTGAAACGACCCAGGTAAATAATTATTTCAAGTTTTTAAACGTTGTGCGACATTTTTCATGTTTACCGTAACGTGTTTTCGAGTGTCAGTTTTACTATTGTTCCTAGTAACACAGCAAATACCCATAAAGTCAAATTAAAAAAAATGTTTTATTATACAGTATCTAATGCCTTGGCAGTCGCGTTACTTCATCGCATTGTTTTCGTTTTGTCACTAGCGTGTTGTGTACTGTGTAAAACAAACAGCACACCTAACCTAACACGGCATAATATGGGCAGGTTGCATAATCAACGCATTCTATAGCTATTGATATTATAATAACGTTTTTTAAAATGCTCGTTCTTAAGTTTTGTCGCGGGTTGACAACTGTTAACGCGCCGCGAGTCCTCTTGTAATTGAATTGAATTCGTCGTATACAGGTACGACGGATTCCCTCCGGAGTTGATGTTAAAAAACGAAAAAATACCAACTTGTAAATAAATAAAGGGCGAGACCCGAACAATTAATAATGACCGCTTCGTTTGTCGTGTATAGAAAATGACCTAAAAAAAGTTTCACGACGTAGGAAAATAATTTGTTCATTATTTTTGCCACAATTAATTATACAGGTCCTTGCCGGTTAGTGTACGGGCGTCGAATGCGAGCGGATCTCCGGGGTTAATCTTATCATCCAATTAATTTCGAGAAAAACGCCCCGTCCCCTCTACACTACCCGCCCTATCGTCTTATCGTCGCGAAATTAATAGTCGACCGTCTTGTAAACACCGTCAACATCCTTTTGTACATCAAAAAAATAATAATCTTACCCGTCCGAACCCCATAGAAACGTAATTAATAACACAAAAAAAGGTTTTGAATATATAAAAAAAATTAATTGATCGTATACACGAAAACGTGTAATTAAAGACACTGGGCACGCCATTATAGTTTAATAATGTACAACACACCCCGTTTGAGATTCGCTGATATCACACAAAAGTCTGTGTCGCACAATATTGCTTTAGACATTAATCCTTCGGTACTTTTTTCACATCATTATTCATTGTTATTTCACCTAAAAAATGAACAATAGCGTTAAGTAGAGTAACACCGTTGTGATGTTCATTATGATTTATGTAGCTATAATTTTAAGTATAAAGCTCAAAACAGATTTCGGACTAAAAAAAAAAAGGCGCTGCTTATTGGTTTCTGTATTATTTGTAAATTAATTTTTATAATAATGTGTAAACCACGGGAAACCGTTTTTGCCGTTGTTTTTAATGAAATAAATAGAAAAATCAGTTGCATAGTAATGACATCTTATTTTTTCTGCAGGAAAATAAAATTAACAAGCAATGTTTAGCAAAATTATATTAAATAGTACACTAACAAAATAGTGTTTTCGTTAGGGTAAAATGACATAATGAATTCTTACAAATTTTTTTGCTATTTTTACTTGGAGTGTCACTTTAGATTAATGTGTTATGTTCAGGTCGTAACTTTTAAGCGCTCGTTTCATACAACTATTAAAAAATACCAAAAGGTTGTTTTTTATGTATAATCGGGAGATGGTATTCGTATATAATAACAGTGGTGAATAAAATGTATTTTTTCGTTTAATGCGAATTTTAATGGCGTTAAGAAATGATTTGTCCGCGTGCCAGCCAAGCGATCTAGAACGATTTATAATAAATGTCTAAATAATGCATTATAAACTATCTTGTGTCACTGGTGATATTTTTCTTAGTGTAAAAAAACAATTTTATCCTTGAGTTGACT